TAATAATAATAATAATAATAATAATAATAATAATAATAATAATAATAATAATAATAATAATAATAATAATAATAATCTGAATAACGATAAGGATATTTATGAAATACTTATCTTATTTAAAATATTTTAATTTTTTATTAGCAATTGAAAGAAAATGAATTTAGTAAAACTTTATAAATTTGTAAAGATCAGTTAATACTTGATGATAGTAATCAGATGAATCTTTTATGAGTGATCATCATATCTCGATCAACAATTCTTTAACGTTGGACCAATTCATCACTTATAATCCAACAACCCCGTTAGAATCACAGCAATTCTCACAACCATTTACCCAAGCATATGATTTTATTATATGATAACTTTTCTAATCGTTTTTATTACATATAATTTAGGTCAGATAAAATAGAGATTTGACCATTACGCGTATACAAATTAATATCGATATAGATCTCCCTCGGCAATTATTTAATTCTTCATTCGCTTGTACGTTTGTTCGCTTGTTCGTCTGTTAGCTTATTCGTCTGTTCGTCTGTTCGTTTGTTCGTTTTGCTCTTTCATTTAATTTAATAATTTATTATGTCTGTTCTTTCGTTTGGCTTTTTGGTCCTTATGTCTATTTCATTTATTTGGTTTATTCTTTTGTTTTATTTACATTTATTTAATTTGTCTAATAAGACTTATACCAACGTTTCGAAATTTGATAAACTCGTCACTTTTTTTCCTAAATTTTGTACAATAAATAAATTCCTTATCGTTATATCTATACATGTAAAAATTAAATCATTTCACAACGTAAATTGTTCAGCACGTGCAAGAGTTTTAACTTTCATTTATATTATTGCAACTTTCAATTATTGACGCAATTCCCTGAACCATTCATGCTCTAGATATTTTAAACATGAATCATCATTTTCATCATCATCGTCATTTTCGTTATCTTCGTCGTCATCAGATTGACTTATTACTGGTAATGCAGTCTCAACATATGATTTATACACCTCGTCCGAAAATTTATAGGAATTGATCACATACTCAAGAACCAATTAGGAATTTGAAAGTTCTATACTTATTTATATTTATTTATGTGTCTTGTTATATTTTTATATTCACGTTATCCTTCGTCACTTATTTTTCTTTCGTTATGAATCTTCGCTCTGCTCCTAATTCACCAATTGATATCAAAAATTTAGCTAGATTCATTTCTGTTTGATTTTTTCGCGTTTTTCGTCTTTGTTTTCGTTCTGTTCTCGCAATTAAATATATCTCGTTAATATTTTTCTATTCAAATTCTTGCATATACATGCACGTAGTTCTTAAATTAGTCAGTATATGTTATGGAATTATTCAAATTTTAGTGGAAAACAAAGTAACCATAAAATAACTCACGATCATTTATTGTTAATGATGTTAAACAAATACATGTTAAAAAGTTAGATATTGATTCAAATGCAAAAAAGCTGACATACTAGTTTCGAATAATAATACTCATGAGATAATTTACATAATTCTTTTTAAGTATTTTTAAAGGTCGAATAAGATTCTGATTGTTTTATTTGGCGCATTTTTAATGGTTAAATGTATTAACGTTAGTTATTAATTTTTATTTATTACAAATGTAGGACGACGCCGGAAATCATAACGATAATGAGTAACAATATGTTAATGCATATTGTGGTGTTACTTGTACTTATTGCATGTTAACAAAAGAATAATACCAATGCAAATATATCAGTGGTTGTTTAATTGAATATAAATAATTATATGTAGCAACAATTCTAATAGCTCTCAATGATAAAATAAATATTAGGAAGTTTCGTCAACAAGAACTGACGTGAAACAATGCTTTTTATAGATAAAAGTCTTAAACTCTAACAATCGAGCAATAACAATAACATAAGCCTTTTCTGAACAAAGGACCTAACGGTGGATCATATAAAGGCAATTTTGTACAAAGAAATTCAATTATATGTATTATTATTTTAATAAAGCATACTTTTTTTGAACTTCACAACTATGCTATTTATACATTTTCGCTTCTTTATTACGGGATAATTTATTGGAAAAATTATTGAAGAAATTATTAGATAATAGATGCATTGGAAAATTTATAACATGTAATATGCATAGCCGAGTTAATATTTCTTTATATAATTGATTTCAAAAACAAAGGCGGTGCAATTCTTAGTCTTGATGATAATCCCCTCCGATTAGTAACATTGTGTTTGGTATTTTAACAAACACAGATCGTCTTTGCGTTTAGTATTTTACCAAAAAAAGATTGTCTTCCAAATGAAGCTTACAAACGTAATTTAGAATAGTAATTAGATGGTTAATAAGAACTCTTTCTTTCAACGAATAAAGGAGGTCAAAATAATAAAACACAAGTCAATTAACATCAGCTTTCATAGGTCAAAGGAATAATACCACTTGTACACAAGACTGAATGGTGCTAGGAATTGTTTTAAGGGAACAAGGTAATTCAATTTTCTTACTAGACTCTCCGAACTTTATCTTTGAATATTACGATATTCTTGAAAATTATCTTCCAAAGTTTGATTCTAATGAAATTATTGTTAATTATTTCATTAATCGTTTATTGTTTTTAAGAATGAAAATGAGAGAGTGTGTTAGTAGTTAGTTTATCTTACCTTGGTGTACATACAATATCCATTGATATTGCACAGATTTAGAACCTTCATTGATATTACCTTTACAGTCTAACTTCTGTTAGTATCAGTATCAGTATCAGTCTCTTCCAAGCCAACATTGTTATATCAATCAGTATGAACAATTTCAAGATTTGAAACTTGTTTTGTATCAGAATGCATTAACATTTTCTTCTTGCATTTCTGTTGCAATTATCTTACGCTAGACATTTCATCGTTATAAATACGTGAAACAGTCACCGATACTCCGATAATTGCTTTGACATTCAATACATTAACTGTAATCATGAGTATTGTGATGCATTGTAGTAGTAATCACGTTGATGAAATGGTAGAAAACAAATGAGAGATAATAGTTGTCGTCAAAGTATGTAGTTACTTACATATGCATGTAACAGTTAGGGATTCAAATCCAAATATCGATATCGATATGCATTAAAAAGATGCATAAATAGGGTTCTTTCATGTATTTTAAGAAAAGTTTTTTGTGTGTGTATTTTGAGAGAACAATTTTATCATTGTGTTATGTATTAATAATTTTAGAACAGTGTGAAGGTTTTATTTATATACAAGTAAATAATCATTCTAACAAAGCATATGCACGAAATTAAATGACAATAACTCCAATTACAGCTTAGCATGCATATAATACCCAGGTCTTATAAAATGCTTGTACTATTTTTAACTGCATAGTACTATGTGTAAAACTGGATAACTGGATATTGTGTATTTAAAATCAAAGTCAAATTAGAAAAACAATAAAGACACATGTAAAATGATAGATTAGTGAGCATTAAGAGAATGAAAATAAAAATGTAAATGTAATATATATTTTGTTCCCAAAATCACAATCAGTCCCAAATGAATCTCCCAGCACTAACTCCTCTATTTCTGGGCATCCTAATTTAGGGGGCAGTGTTTAAAATTAGTCTGCGTAACGCAGATTGTGTAATTATTTTTAGAAACAATCTACAAATACAAAAATTTTTGCGTAGAATTCGCCCATGCATTAGTACATGTAAAATAATTGACATGCTGAATCATATGTTCCATACGTTCGTATTGAGCGGTATACGCGGTAATCAATGAGCAAATGCCGCATGAAGTTTTGGACACATTCAATTTTATTATCGTTATTGAGAAATGTTTGTATCATAACAGATTAACTGCTGAGGAACTTCGAGACTTTATCAAGTTTCATATACCTATAATTCTTTGTAGGAAATTGTACATATACTGTGTATACATGTATTATTCTGCATATATGTACATCTATTGTAATATTAAATAAAAGACGCGTTTTCTTTTTTCAATTAGGTCTCAGTTTTCATGTTTATCTGATGTGTTATAATTAATCACCATTTGAAAATCAACAAAACGAAAAGGATTATCTTTTGCTTCAAATAATTCAGTAATATAATTATGAAACTTTTCAATATTTTCATATAAACAAAATTGGAAAAATGTACGTTTAATAGTAATTTTTTTAATATGGGAGGAGAGTCGTTTCATGTCATAGCTCTTGATCTCATTATCCGTAAATGTATATGTAAACATGAAAGATCACAATATACCCCAAAATTATTGTAACTTGTATCAAAACTTTAACTTTCCTATTATAATGCATATATACAGCGGTCACCTCATCCCTAATTAATCGAATCGAATCTAATCATATTCTTTTTTAAAATTAAATTAAGGATTTTAAGCCACTTGGATTCTAATAACGAAGAAAGCGATGATGAATTGGTAATACAATTCCAAACGGAGGAATTTCATAGCGAAGCGCAAATTACACATAAAAAATGTTTTGATTGCGAGAATTTTAGGACTAATTTTGCTTGGTGCCACTCTTGTGAAACTACCCGGTTTAAGGAAAACTTTCCAAATTGGACAACTGGCAATTTGCAGCTTGATTTAATTATACAAAAAAGCCAAGTCGAAGCAAATGTAAGCGGCGATTATCTTGAATATATCTCTTACGATCAATTTGAGCTGATTGAATTTCACAAAGCTGGAGCATTTAGTGAAATTTATTCAGCCCTTTGGTT